ATAGGCCCGATAATGGGCTCTCAAGTGTGTTCGGTCAGATTCATCCCGTGATCTCCTCCACCTACGCTCTAGCCATCTCCCAACCTGCTTCATCGCCTGCAATTCAGGTGTATACCAAGGGGAAGAGTGGGCTCTGCCCGGTGGGAGAGGACGCTTAGGAGCGATCATGTCCACAGCCCTGGTCATCTCCCCATTCCACAGATCGACCAGAGCCTCGACAGGAGCACCAGTCTTGTCAGCTGGAAACTCCCCCAGGGCCTTCAGGAATCCATCCGGATCCATCCGGCTCCGGGGGCGGACCCACACAATCGGGTCCGCACCCTTGCAGAGGGAGAGGTTGCTCTCAAGCACAAGATCACCAGGAAGTGATCTGACCATGACAGGGGAGTCAAACATAAATTCCTCACCCTCAGACCACCCTCTTCCTGCCCCGTCAAGAAAACCAGGTCCAGAGTGTGTCCACGTTCATGGGTCAGGCCGGTGACATGTTGAGACAGCCCCATGGCCGTCATGGAGGCCATGAAGTCCTGAGCCGCCCCGGTCAGACCAGTCTCGGCATGGAGATTGAAGTCCCCCAGGACCAACATCCTGGGGGTCCTCAACACCAGGTCCAAGACGATCTCCGTCAGCTCAAGCAGGGAGACTGTTGGGCAGAAGGGTGCACGGTACACCAACAGAATCCCCAGTCTGTCTCGGTCACCCAACACCAAGTAGAGGCACTCCAGCCCTGGTCTCGAAGGGACCGGAAGTCCCATGAGAGAGATGGAGGCTCGGTAAACCAAAGCGACCCCCCCTCCCCTCCCCTCTGGGCATGAACAGTGCTGAACCAGATACCATCTTGAAAGGATGGAACGCAGTAAAGGGAGTTCCTAGAAGTAAATATTTCTAGTAGTTTAATGAAGCACTCTGTGTATGTTAAGAGATTTATTCTGGGTGATTATGCTTCTGGAAAAAAACTTTGGTCAATAAAGAACGTTTTGCAAGAATGGTCTGTGTCTTGAAATGTGTGAAAGGAGGAAAGCTAGCTTAGGACGCTTTATTGTCAACAGGCTAATGATCTTGTAAGCCAATGTCCATAGGTTCTAACTTCAACAGGAACAAAGTAAGAATGCCCCTTTTGTAGCAGTGTGGGGGCATTTGTAGTAGCCCCTTTCCTTCAGCTCATAATACTGCACCTGGTGGCCTAGTGCCATTTTGAAAGAGGCACATTCTGCCTCTCTGTATTGCTGGCAGCTTCTTTGAACTGTAACTCCTGAGAAGTACACTGGATGCATTTCCTGTTGGCTTGGTTTCCTTTGGTGCCCATGTTCGAGATACGATGCTTGCACATTTCTGCAGCTGGTGGTTGAGAAGAGAAAGTACATTCAGTTCCGCTTGTACTGTCCTTATCTTATTCTTTAAATGTTTCTGTCTTCTGTGTTGAAGCACCTATCTACCTAGCCAGTTTCATTCTTTCTCTTCATTGCTTGCTTCTGGAAGAGGTATGGATCAGCCTAGAATGAAGCAATGCAGTAGGGATTGAAAATACCCGAGAGAATAAACCTTTAAAGATGTAGTTAAAATGTGATCTACCCATACTTTCTTCCTTGGTCTTCCTACATATGGTCACTCAGCTGTTGATCTCTCCTGGCAGTCCTGGTGCCTTTAGGGTTTCTTTCATCCCTGATAATCATTCAAATTGGTGTGTAGTGCACTTAAAATCAAGGAACTTTGGGCTTGCTATAGAAAGAGGAAGACAACTTGTAGTGGGTGACATTTTGGCCCCCACCAGAGGCACTGAGCAGGATTTGTAAAGCATTTTAAGCTTCTGCTGGGAGAGTTTGCCTTCTTATATTTAACACTTAACCATGAGGTCTTTGAATTATTTTGTGAATAAACAATTCTTCGTATTTCAGATTACTTCTGCACATCTGGACAGTCCACCAGCAATCCCTCCTAGACAGCCAACATCAAAAATGTATTCACCGAAGTACTCAGTACCAGACAGGACCTCCATCTCGGATGCCCCAGAAAGTCCACCTTTGTTACCACCACGAGAACCTGTACGAACTCCTGATGTTTTCTCTAGTTCACCGCTGCATCTCCAGCCACCTCCTTTAGGCAGAAAAAGTGAACTTGGCAACACTTTCTTTCCCAACAGTCCTTCTCCATTTACTCCCCCTCCCCCTCAAACACCTTCCCCCCACGTAGCACGGAAGCATTTGCCTTCTCCTCCTTTGATACCCCAAGATACGGACCTCCATTCTGTTGCTGGGCCACCTGTTCCTCCACGGCAAAGCACTTCTCAACATATCCCAAAGCTTCCTCCAAAAACTTACAAAAGGGAGCCCACACACCCATCACTGCATGGACCGCCTTTGCTGGAGAACGCCCACTCCACCTGAAGTCTCCTTTGTGCTGGAAAGAGTGCTTTCCTTGGTGCCATATCTATTGCTGGCAATAGATGCACTGTACCTTTTGGAGCCAGGGAGTTGAGCTGTGTTGCTCCTAACACTAAAGACTGTACAATACAGAGTAGAAAAAAATACATCTTAATAGCAGGCCCTTTATCATGAAAATCCTGTTGCCGTTTGTTAGTGTAGTATGCAGGGCACTGTTCTAAAGTCACTGGACATCTGAATGTACCAGAAATCAGACTTGCAGATCTCTTCGGGCCAATGAGCAGGCACTGTGCTTTGTGTACCATCCAGTGGAGGACGAGAAACATAATCCCATGACCCTCAGTCCACTGCAACATAAGTTCTTGGAGCGAAAATGTATGCACTTTTTTTTTTAAAATTCTCAAACAGGGAACTTGATAGTCTTCTTAATTTTCTTTTGTTTAATTCCCTGTTTTCCAATCATGAACTGGACTATGAGGAAGCTCTGTGGTACTGAACCAATATAGAGCTAAGGCATAGCACTGTACTGCAGTCCTGTTTACAAACTGTTACAGTTAATAGTACATATATGGGTACCTAGGCTTCACCAAAGAGGTACTTTCCTTCCTTATGAACATTATGGTGCCAGTTCAATAAGAAATTTTGCCAGGAAGCAGAATGCCTAACTTTTGCCTTCTTTGAATAAATGAGATTTAAGTCTTATACGAATGACACCAAGCATACAAACCACAAAACAGCGCTCTTGTCAGAACTAAATCTGTTCCTAAATTTAGAAGACTGTTAAATCTAGACTAGGTTAGGTCTTCTTCATCTAAAGGTTTACTGAAACCCATTGTATGGCTGGTAGTGCAGCAACCTTGATTATGCCATGGAAATGCAAAGGATGATCGGCTGGCCATATCCCCAAAATATCACAATGTTTTAACTAGCAGTTGGTAGATGAATAATCAGCACCCATAGAATTGCCTTGTAGTTGCATAAATAAATCATATGTATATAGTGAATGTTGCATAAATATACTTGCAAATTGTTTAATTTAATTGAAATAAAGATACAGATATTTTGTCTGGCTGACATATATTAAATTATTGCATTGCTAAATGTACATTTCAGTTTAAAGCACTGAGAAGGAGATACATCCTGTGGTACTCACATCTCTCTTTCTAGCTCATTGTTGTAGTCAATGAAGAAACAGAAGGAACCCCAAGGTTTGGCATATGGAATAAAGGTGAGTTAGGGGCAACTTGAAGTTAACATCTTTGTGTTTAGAATGAAATGGCTCTCATGTATATCAGTACCAAATTCCAAACTCTGATTAACTTCCTAAACTTTGAAGTTGATCTTCACTCTGTCAGAAATATTTGAAAGAGACTAACCTGCATAAATATCCTACCTTGGATTATCCATAGACCTGTGAACTGCGCTTCTGATTCCAGTACTGTGACAGTAATGTACACCATTATTGAAGATATTTAAATCATCTCAGCTACACTAGGATTTGTGTATGGTGCAGTATTGTATTTTTAATTACTAAAACACTCATAGGATGTTTCTTCAGCAAAACCAAAATATATTTTGGTATGCTAGAAAGCAATGTCACTAGAACAATGTTGGTAGAAGAGAATCACCACAGACACCTGAGACACTTCTATTTCACTATGCAGTGTGGTCTTTGCATTTCAGAAAATGTTTAATCTGCACTAAATGGATCCTTTTAAAAATTTACATATACAGTATGCAGAATCAAAAGAAGCATTGAGGTAAAGGATATTCTAAAAACTGTTGAGTGTTAAAGAGAAGTGGTTCCTGCTTATATTCCTTTTTTCTTCTCAGTTGTAACTCAAAAATAATGGAAACAGTCGTACTCATAAGAGCTTTAAATACTACAGATGGTATCATTTCCCCCAGTGCTGACCAGGAAAACTCTTAGGTGTGTCATTTATCCAGGCTTTGCTTGCATAGAGAGATCCCCGAGCAACCTACTTTTACTTTAGGAGAAAGATGGTAAAGGAGAAAGAGACTTTTAACTCCAAGCCGCAGCAGATTACTCCTAAATGAAAAAAGTGTAATGCTTGTCCTTATGGTTGCGAAGATTTCCTTGCTTACTACAACCCAGATACCACACATTAAATGAATTGGATTAAGGAGCTGAAGTACTATATCAATGCTCTCTCTCTAGTGGTTTTTGCTGTTTGTAGATTCTCTATAAGACTGAGCTAAAATATTCAGATCCCTGAACAAAAGTTAGCAGGTCTTCATAGTGCAAATGTTAATCTCCTAAATATGGAAGATTCTCAAAAACCCACTGAAGTGGAAGTTGTTTGCACAAAGTGTGGTTAATACAAGTATCTTCTTTAATACAGATAACTTTTTGTTACATTGAATGCTCCAAATGTAGCATGGAGAATGTTGGTCTATTGGAGTACTGATAGTTTCTGCTCACCCCTTTAAGGCATCCATTGTGTAGCTCCTTGTTGTTGTGTATAGAATTCCTGTCATGCAATTTGATAGTCTATAAAAAGTGCTGAGTTTCTTTTCTAAAGGGAATGTGCTGCTTGTTTTGAAACCATCTCAAGAAGTTGAAGTGCTCCCCATAAACAGTTTTGTGACGTTTAAAACTCTTGGACACTAACATTATTCAAAGGAAAATAATACTGGAGTCAGTGATTTGTCCAAACTTTTAAGCTAAATAGAATTTTAGCAGACTGTAAAATACACTTTTTTCATGACACTGTGTCTGTTAGTATAGGAGCATATGGTCCATTAAAACTATGTAATTGAACATCAGGCAGAATAGAAATTTATTGAAGTGTTGGCTATATAGAGCAGAGTTGCTGAGATTTATTTTTCCTGTGATGGGGGAGAAAAACTTGTTCCGTTAACCAAATTTGCTGTCTGAAGGAGAGAATAAACTCTCAATTTCCTGGAATTAGTGTGCCAGCAGCAGTATATTTTAATGAATAAAGGAATACAAGTCCATACTGCAAAAGTACTTTTAGAATTGTTGTTATAGCATGTGATGTTGCTACTCCCTCTTAGGGCCCATGCCATCTTGTGTCAGGCTGTTCTAATGGAGCTCATGCAGTCACGGTTCTGCTGTTAGGGGTTTTTTAAGTACTCAATAAATTTTCAGGACTGCCATGTTTATATTTAAACGTTGGCCAAGATTAATAGGGTTGCACACAGTTTTCTGAATGCACATGCATGTGTTTTTCGAGTCACCACTGCAACCTAAATCATTCCTTGAAAGACTGGAGGGAAAGAAAGAAAAGGCACCTTTGCAAGTGTTCTACTAATGTAAGGAGTCTTGAGAGCCCATATCCATTTTCAAAAAATGGGAGTTTGATTTTTGTCCCTCTCAGGAGAGTATGGAACATTGTTTTCCAGGAAATCCTGTTGTGCAGATTAATGCTGTTGATGTTGTGCTAGAGGTCCCTTGCGCTAGCACAATGTAATTTGTGTTAACAAAATGACATTCCTGGATACTGCCCTAAGGCTCTGGATACGATTATGGCAGGGGCAGGTGATTATTCAAGACTAGCAGCATCTATTGAAGTTCAGCAGGCTGCACCCAAAAGAAGCCATCTGGGTGCAGCTTTGACAATCAGCTGAGTTCCTGAATGGTTTGTTTAAAAGTGACAGCTTATTGCCTCAATGTTTGCCTGTCAGTGTGTCTTCCCTGCTTGCTGTTCCATGTACAAAACAAAATGCATAAAATAAATCCCTGTTATCCTGCCTATATTTTTAGTTATGGAAGAGGGCATTGCTATAAAATCTGCCCTCAAAAGGGAGAAACCTCAATAAATTGGCTTATTTGGATGTTCTATTGAAAGACAGTGATGCCCAACTCACAGAACGTGGACTATAAATTATGTTCTTAAATTAATCAGAGGTCATATTATGGGTAAATGAATTTTCTCTATACTATAGAAAAGTAACTAGGCCTATTATTGATGACAGATGTAAAGCCAAAAGCACTTGGTTGGGTTTTGTGTGTGAATTCCACGCCTTATTTACTGTTTGTTTTTAAAAACAAGCAAACCTTGAAGTGCATTTTTTCTGTCAACTGTGAGTAAATTCCCCTTTCGCCTTTAAAGACAAAATAGTGCATTAAGCAATCATTAAAATAGTCATGAACCCAGGTGAAAGAGGAAAATAAATCTTGTGCCAGATGTATGCAACTTTCAGTAGCTGCCAATCGTGCCTTTTTCAAAAGCCTTTTTTTCCTGAAACACCATTGGTTCTCTTGGGAGGGGGCTTCTGTTCTTATCTGGCCAATTTAGAATCCAAGCTTCCTGGTTCTCCTGTGTACAGGTTTATGTTTTGATGAATTCTGCTAATTCATATATTGAAAATGTATTGACTTTTGTTTAATGGCATGGATACTTCGCTAAACGGTTACGAAGCTATGGCAGTCCAATCCAGCTGTGTAAGGTTGAAGTGGTGATATCTAAACTGGCAAATCTTATGGGCCTGTGTGTACCTAATCATGTATGTAGGTGAGCTTTTGTATGCTATGTCTGCAATGGTATTCAGATTGCATTTAAACTGAAAATTAATAGTGGCTGTTATTTTTTGGCATTCAAGAGATCTGTTCTTAAAAAATAAATAAAAATGCCTTACATATCCCATAAGTGTATATCTTTCTATATGTGATAATTTCAGTCTGTCTGTTGCATTATTTTTATTTAGCTTACTGTTGTTTTGTCATATGGTATCGCCAGGTTTAGAATAGTTCGTTACCACTCCGTGCATAGGGTACCACTGTTACTGCTACAGTCTTGTTGGCTCTCACCCACGTAAGTTTGCTTTCAAGAATGATACCAATCCACTTACTAACTGGGTACTTTTTGCAGCTTTTCAATTGACATAGCTACACAAACTAGATATTCATGTGCATTTGTTCAAAGCAATGACCTTAGTCTGAATTTTACAACAAAGTTTATTTGAAATGAAAAATATGCTTCTAGAGGCATGTACATAGGCGCTAAACAATCAGTAAATGTATGGCAGTCTGTATTGATTCTGAATGCTCTGCGTTGCTTTTAAATGGCACTGATTTTACCATCAGTTTAAAATTCCGATTCCAACACTACTTGACACTTTCGGAGAAAGAACATTGGAAGCTTTTTCATACGTCTGTTGCATTAAGTTTTAACACTACATTACTCAGACTAAAAAAGTTGTAAAAATTATATACTGTTAATGTTTTAACCAAATTGCATGAACTTACACATACTCTTACATGTACCTCTTTGGCTACAATTAGATCTGAAGTGTACATTTAGAGATGATAATTGGATCCATCTACGATCATGCAAAAAAAAAAATTCCACATTTTGCCCTAATAACTAAAGTTATTTAGGGTGGGATGTACAAGTTGATCTGAGACTTAATAAATGGTGTATTGAGGTTCAGGAGCTTTCCTTCTGCTGGACCATCTCTGCTGAACTGCATTGTGTCTAGTAGAAATAGTCACTTGGTGGTCCAGAAGGCATTACAATCCAGCCTCTAAAGCCCTGGCTGATTTTAATAAATGTGGAAAAAGTTATGAAATTTCATATTTCTTGGTGGGTTTTCACCCTGATAAGTAGTGGATTGGAAGCATTGAAACATCATATATATTGATGACCTCTTATTGTACCTTCATAACTATGTGAAGATTTTATTATATAGCAGTGAGTGACTGGGCAAAATACAATGCAGGCCCTAAGATTAAACCCTGAAAATACAGGACCTGGCCATTTCTCTTTTGGGGATCAGAAGGCAGAATCTTTTAAAATAAATTTCGTACCACCACTCTGCCTTTGAAGCAAAACCACCGCGGTAGATGGGGCTCGAACCAAAGAGCTCAGCACAGGAGAAATGCTGAAACAGTTGGTCTTTCCCTGCTTGGCTCACTTCTTTTTGAAGAGCTTGCGGAAAGAGCTGCGAAAGCCCCCTTTCTGTCCTTGTCTCGGAATGTGGTTGCTGAAAGATGTTTGCTCATTGTCATCCCTATAAGGGAATCTGCTGTTGTCTTCTAAATGCATCTCCTGAAATGGAAAACACAGTAGAACTAAGTAGATTGCAAGGTTCTCCCTTCCATGCTGGCCATGTGCTGAACCAAAGGAACTGCAAAGCAGCAGCTACACCTTTGCACATTAGCATTTGTGGTTCAAAGGATACATGACTTTGATGAATGGCCTGTCAGTACACTTGCTCCATTTTCATCATGCTTCAAAAACCTGCAAACCCTACTTGACCAGGAGGATACTGAAATGAATGAGCAAATGTGACCATAGGAAATGTTCAATAACGCATGTTTCCCCATGGCCACATCATTTTCACTACTAACGTTACTGCAGTTATTCTATTTCAAACTGTGTGGGGTTTCTCTGCATAAGGCCTATAACCTGGCCCTTAACCAAAGCTGCTACTTCCATTTTCTTTGCAAGAGGATCAGAATATCTTTCACACAAGGTTTTCTACCTCCCTGGAGCAGGGACTGGGTTCTCTGCCTTTCTTTATGCTCCTATAAGTTCTATTGCACAATACAGGGCAGTATTGTAGTACAAAGTTGTGAAATTATACTAGGCTTTTGTAGGGAATAATGGTAGCATCAAGGAAAACAGCTGACTTTTCTTGCTCTAAACGAGCCATCAAATTGGCTGGAAAATTTGGAAGAAGGCTGGAGCATGACAACATTAAGAAAAAAACCTACAAGCTTCTATCAGTGAGATCATGACCGCACAATAAATGCCTCCAGAGACAGGAGCTCTAATTCTTTTTTAAAACATTTTTTATGGTAGTCAGAGTCAATGTCTGGATTAAGCTGGTGTTGTAGCTAACATGATAAAGAGACTGAATCAAGACAAAGCTATCTAAATTTTTATTTTTTATTTATTTATTTATGGATTTATATCCTGCCTTTTTCCTACAAAGGGCTCAAGGCAGCTTACATCTCCTCCTCCATCTTATCCCCACAACAACAACCCTGTGAGGTAGGTTGGGCTGAGAGTCTATGACTGGCCCAAAGTCACCCAGTTGGCACCATGGCTGAGCGGGGACTAGAACCCAGATCCTCTGAGTCCCAGTTCCACGCTCTTAACCACTACACCACACTGTCTCTCACCCTAAATGGGAAGGTCTGGTGTGTGATGGCTCCACCTGGACTGTGGTTCAAAGTAAAGTGAATGGCACCAAGCTACACTACTGTATAGCTCATAGTGCCTCTCCATTAGCTGAGCCCTGAAGTTGCTAGTTCTCAAGACAACATACTCAGAGAAGGAATAACAAGAGCAAATAATTAACCCTAGTTATCCCTAAAAGGAAACATGTACAACTAGACAATAGCACTAACCTGCACCTATAGGCTGCGAACTAAAGAACAGGAAGCCATGCCACCTCTGTACCCCAATCACCAAAACTAATAAATTGCTGGTGACAGTATACCTTTAGAGAAACGGAGATGTGCAAGCTCCCCAGTGCCCATTAGGAACTGCCACTGAACTGACAGAGGAATTATTGTGTATTGCCATTAGCCTCTGCTTGACTCTCCAATACAACAACTTACCAGTGAGGTTCACCCATATTTTCCCTGCTCAGCCAGCTAAATTAGCATTGGGAACTTGGTCCGGGAAAAGACAAGAAAGTGTTCTATTCTCTGTTTTCTTTTCCTCCTGGTTAAAAAGGTAGGTTTAATGTGCTCGGAAGGAGCAAATCAACTATAAAGTTTTGCTGCTGAATAACAATAGAGTGTTTTCCATGTGCCAGGGTAGTAGAATTGGCTCACATTTTAATTTTGCTTTTTCTTGTCAGCAGGTTGGTCGGTTTGATTTAAAAGTGTTAGTGGGATAACAGCATTTTTGTGTTTTGTAGTGTTCCAAAAGCCTTCAACGCATGTTTTACCAGAGGCACCAGTGATGTGAGGAGAGATTGGCAGCAAACATGGCTTTTATGCTGCTACCTTAAACATTCTTAAAAGGGATTGCTTGTGTCCAGCCTAATTTTGTCCCTAATTCTCTACATACTTTCCCCCTTAGACACACAGTAGGAAGGATAGGGTTGATGCTAGGCCTGGATCCATGAAGCCCAAGCACCAATTTTATTTCCCGGAAGTCCGGGTCTGTTCTCCATATTTGCATAGATAAAATGAGTGTATGTAGTTTTATCCAGTTATGAATCCTATGGCCTGAGTCCCAAATTTAGTGACTAGCAATGGTCCAGGGTCAGGAATTCTCCCCTAGGTATTCGGGCAGACACAGACCGGACTCAGACAACACAACCAGGGATTAATGTGGTTTCTTCCGGAACTCTGAATTGGGGTTTTTAAAATGTATTGTCTGAACCTAGCTGTGGTACCAAGCCATGGCTTGCTAACCACAAATAACACATGATCCTGATTTTAAGTGCTCATTCTGCTCCAACAGATTTCCTTCCCTCTTCCTCTGGTACTTGTACTGTGAGCTGTATATTGATATTGTTAACCACTTAAAGATTCCTGTTGGACTATTGAGCAGTATATAAATTCGAAAATAAACAGAGTCCATAGTGTGTTGTTGGGTTGTAAACTGTCTGTTATTTCAGCTGTGTTCTAAGAATCTGCTAGCCCATGTTTTAGCAACAGCGCAAGAACAATTCACACTCAATCCTTGTATGTGTGTTATCATGTTGTTTGAATGTAGTCATGCTTTCCAGTACAGCATGGCAGCCTTCATGGCAAAATCCTGAGGAAATTGCACATGGTTGGCCTTTCTTCAATCTACTCATAACAAGAAACTAGAAAATCAGTCATTTGGGGGACTTTTTCTATGTCTTGCATGTAAACATATTCTCAATATAGAGAAAGCCAGTGTGGCATAATAGTTAGAATTTTAGACTGGGACTCAGAAGATCCAGGTTCTAGTCCCTGCTTGGTCATGAAGTTTATTGGATAGAGAGCCAGTGTGGTGTAGTGGTTAAGAGCCTGGGACTGGGACTCAGACAATCTGGGTTTTAGTCCCCGCTCAGCCATGGAGCCAACTGGGTGACTTTCGGCCAGTCACAGACTCTCAGCCCAGCCTACCTCACAGGGTTGTTGTTGTGGGGATAAGATGGAGGGGGGAGAATGATGTAAGCTGCCTTAAGCCCTTTGTAGGAAAAAGTCAGGATATAATTAATTAATTAATTCCAGCCATTTATTTATTTATTTAGAATTTTTGTTTGCTGTCCCATCGCTTATAGCCTCGGGACGGCTCACATAAACCATGCATGGTCTCTCAGCCTAATCTAAATTACACAGTTATTTTGAGGATAAAAATAGAGATGTAAGCCTCGTTGGGTTCCTTGCAAAGGGAGAGAGGTAGGATATCAATCAGTCAATTAAATAAAGGATAAGATAGTGTATGCAAATAAGAATTTCCTCCTCAGGACCAAAAGAATATTATTATATATTGACTTGACTTCTCAGATGACAGGAAGACAGACATGGTTTACAGCAAAACTTTTAAGCTGCCCCTAATTGAGAAAAAGGCAGAGAGACAATCCTACTGGAAGGGTTGGAGAAGGGGGAACAAGTTCCTTCAGGAAGAAACCCAGAACACATTACTTTAAAATACGCCAAAAGGAATCTGCATCAGAGGATGCAGCAGGACTGGCCCACAGAGCCATCCAAAGGCACACTCCTGCCAGGCAAAGTGCCAAAGCTACTAGAACTGTCCTCGGATGTTCCCTGGGAGTTTTTCTCTGCTGGAGCTTGAAAAAGTGCATCGGTGCAAAAAATGACAAGCTAAAGCAGCAGCACTTCAGGACAGAACCCTGAGCCCTTCCCCTTTTTAGCCCTAGAGTTGGTGCCCGGCTTACGTGTTTCTCAGACCCTTGCCTGTCGCTCTCCTTACTTCCACAAAGCTTTGCTTTTCACCCACTCCTCTCTGCGGAGGAAAGACGTTCCGCTGGTTGCTCCTGGTGGCCACAGGGACCCCATGCACCTGGAAGCCCCTCTCCGGCTTGTTTGGCAGCCGACTGCCACTGCTGCTCCGTGTGCTGTACAGCCTTGTGCAGACTCCGTCGGTCCCGCTGCTGCGGGGAAACTCCTTCAAGGACCGGCTCAACTGTTTGCCTTTGCTGCGGAAAACCTCGCGTTTGTAGGTGCTGCTGCCACTGCTGTTGATTGGAGCACTGCTCTTTGGGAGTGGCTGTAACGTGTGCTCTGTCCTCTCTGGCTCCGTCGTGAAGTTCACCGGCCTCAAGAAACAAATGTCGATGCTGGATTCAGAAGAAGCTGGAGAGCAGGTCTCAAAGGCGGCCAGGTTTTGAAGGGGCTCCTCCTCGTAGGGGCCAGGCGTGGTGTACGTGTCCCCGCGGTATTCAAAGTCTTCGTAGTCAGGAGCAAAACTTGAACTCTCATGGAGAAGTTCTGTTGTGGAGGCCCTCCGGGTCCGCTCAGGCTTTCCTTTCATATTAGACAATGGCGTGTGGTACTCCATGTCGGGCAGAGCCTGGAGGGAAGCTGCCAGGGCCTTCAGGTCCTGCTCATTGAATTGTGAGGGAGTCAGGATGTTGTCCGGCCTGTCTGGCCTTCTCCCATCAGTTTCCCACTCACACGGTGATGCTCCCTGCGCATTCTCCACCGCTTGTTGTTGGCTTTTCTTCATGTGTGACATCAAGTGCCTGAACAGGAGAATGGCAGATGACCAGATCAAATAGTAGGCTGAGCAAGCTACAGAGGAAAGGTTGGGGTGACTGACTCCCACTATGCAATTTGGGCCAATAGCTTGCGGATTATGAGGGAACTCCTTGCTACTCAAGTGGTCATCACCTTCCCAAAATAAAGTTTAGCTTACAAACTCTGCTCAGATGCTACCCAGACTCCTTAATTCTTCTCTTCAGGCACTATCCTATGCTGTGCTATCTGGGACATACTGAGAATGGCAGACCTTTTCTCTGTCTAAGCAGGCATACAAGTGCACTCTTCCGTGTTTCACCCCAAGCATCTTACTTCTTTCCTACCACCAAAACCTGCGTCACTTGCAGATCCCAAGGGAGTTAGCATTGTGCAGCACACAGACTGCTTTTCCTCATTATGAATAGCTGTTTGTGTGCTCACAAGTCATTTGCTGCTACTTCAGTCTGGGCTAATGAAATAAGTGGACAAGCATGTGGTTAAAAATGGATTAAAAATGGATTATATTCTTGACATCTTGTGAATAGACTGCTCTGCTCCTCTCTCAAAAAGGAAAAGAAGCGAAGCCTTGCATTGTGGGGCTTTTCTCTTATGACCAGGGCTTTTTTTGTCACAGAACGCACCAGAACTTCATTCCGGCACCTTTTTTTGACAGATTTTTCCGAGTGATTGTGAATCGCCCTGTTGGGCATAGCAGGTCAGCAGCAAAAATCATTAACATAGTGCCTGCGGGCCGCTTGTGTGTTGGCGCTGATTGTGAGGGTGCTGCTCGGCTTGGGACGCTACTCGGCTTGGGATCAGTCATGTGGTCGCGCACTGAGCGCTTACTGCTGACGGCCACTATTATGTTTATGTGTGTGTAGAGTGACTGGCTACGTGCAAAAGGTAAATAAGTTCTTTATTTCAAAAAAAGTTGGTGAATTGAAAATCTTTTTTAGTGTAAAAGTGTGACCCCAAGATGTGAGTTCCAGCACCTTTTTTTTTTTTTTACAAAAAAAGCACTGCTTATGACACTAACGTACTCACATAGCGGTCGTTCCAGAAGCAGAGACTGACGGGAACAGCTGCATGGCCTCTTCAGAGTGTATCCCGCTGTCACGGATGGAAGTCACACTCATTGTTGGAGATGCATCTTGGCCGGTACTGGTGCATTGGGAAGCGAGACCTTTATATAACTTTATGAAGGAAGATCTAGTAAAATGGAGGCAGAACACAACCCACAAGTTAAACTATCAGGCAATTGCAACTGGAGCACCTTTCTTTAAATGGCAGAGTGTTGTTCCTGTATTCATTAAAGTGGCAGAGAAGGTCATTAATACAATATGTATGTAAGTATTAATGATATGTATGAATCATTTACATTAACAGAAATTTCTAAGCCAATGTACCAAACAATACAATCTAAGATGATAATAAAGAACTGAATATGATTCCTGCATATTAAAGACAAAATGACCTTTCTTGAAATGCTTGTTGGCAGAAGTTGGTGTTCAGAAGACACCAGAACCCAGGAGGACCGTTGCCTAATTTGTACCAAGAGAGACTTCCAAAGAGTAGGCACTGAAATGACTGGAACGCCAGTACTTTTAGGCACCACCAGAATGGGAACCTCCTAATTTGTACAATAACCAAACACGCAAGCAGGGGTCATGCAGCCAGAGGTGTGGCTTCCAGATTGAGAGAGGTGCTGGTGCCCCTCTGTGAGATACCAGTGCTCCCACGACTGGAGTACTGTGTCAGATTCTGGGCTCCACGTTACAAGAGGGATGTAGCAATGTTTGAGGCAGTTCAGCACAGGGTCACAGGGATGATAGCTGGATGGGGGAGGGGATGCCCATGAAATGAGATTGAGGGAACTGGGACTTTTCAGAGGGAAAGACGTGATCCAACAGGGCAAAGCTAAAGGAACTGGGCTTTAGGTTGGATGTCAGGAAGCACTTCCTGATGGTTAGGACCCCTAGGATATGACATGGGTTTCTATGGGTGGCGGTGGAGGCCTTCTCATGGATGTTCAAGGAAAATTGGGCACCCACGTGTTGGATAAGTGGAGCCAGCTTGTACCAGGGGTCAGACTAGATGGCCCAGGAGACCCCTTCTGACTTGCTATGGTTCTATGGTTCCTTTTCCTGAGCCATTTATGGTTTTATAAACAAGTACCAGAACTGCAAACCTGGTTCAATAGCATCACAGTGGACTTCCAAAAGGGCTTGGGTTCAGTTTACTGAAGCAAAATTTAGCAGCCCCTAAAATACTTGCCTATGTAAGAAACATGGCATGGGTTCTATGCAATTTGGCTCATGCTTAAGGCCTCTTGGAATGGGCTGAATGGCTGTGAAGCCACCTAAATACCTGTCAGCATTTCATTCTTCAGTGTTTTCTTGCAGCAGGATGTAATTACTTTGGTGCAGGGTTGTGTACTTTTTGTTTTTGGTGCATAGCACATGCAGCCCTCCTCACAAGGTGCACAGTTGCCATGTGAGAGCCTCTGCGCGCTTCGCTTTGGCTTTCTCGGCCTTCACTACGTCCAGCTGCTAAAGCAGGAGCAAAAAGCAGCAGCAGAGAAACAACATCTACCTAGAGTGTAACGTCTACCAGTTTGCCTGTCCCCACAGAACTCCGCTGGAGACTGTGTCAGGTTTTGGGCAGCCTTGAAAAGGGGGCTCTGCAGTGTGCTGCTTTGCTACTGGCATCCTGCTGGGCCCTGTGAGGTTTAGCAAGAGGGGATGGCGAGGAACAGGCATCTGCTGAGATGGGCTGGAGGTGCCCGAGAAAGCAGAGTGGCCTGATGCTTCTTCAGCCTATCCTCAAGGCCTCTAGGCTTGTCCCTGATCAAGGGCTGGTAGTCAGGTCATGAGTTGCTGGGAATAACAAAATGGCCTGGTAGTTCTCCGAAAAAGCGATCCTGGCATCAGCTTCGGTGGGCCCTGGCCTTTCCCTTCACCATGCCAGGCACTTATGCTGGGCCTGACTGCAGCTCCATGCGGCACTGTTGTTTCTTCTTCATGGTCTCTGCGCGTCACATGCATGGATCCTGCCTTTCCTGTCTGCAGACTCCACAAAGAGCCAGCATGGTGTAGTGATCCGCACGGAGAGGCTCAGATCCTCCTCAGCCATGGGACTCACTTGATTGTCTTTGGCCAAACCCTATTTTTCAGCTAAACTTACTGCAACGGTTGCTGTGAAGCTAAAATGAGAGGAGAAATCTACAGTATGTACAATGCCCAGAGTCATTTAGAGGAAGGGCTTGCTGAGAGAGAGAGAGAGAGAGAGAGAGAGAGAGAGAGAGAGAGAGAGAGAGAGAGAGAGAGAGAGAGAGAGAGAGAGAGAGAGAACACCATTCTGTGCATCTCCCTAAAATTATTCCAAGACCAGCTTTAAGGATGGAGCCCTCTCAAACAGGCTTCAAACTCACTTCCTCAGCTTCTTCCGTTTCTGTATCAGAAGGTCTTCATTGCACTGGAAGAGAAGGCTGTAGTGGGAGATGAAAACTCGCAGGCGCTGAACACAGACAAGGAGAAGGTAGTAGTCGGGATGCTCCTGCTCCGTGTATTTCAGAATGTTCTGGTGCAAAAGGACGGCAGCACTGAATTATGTTCTTGATCCATTAGGTAAAAAGCCATAAAATATGACATTTGCTAATTGCCTTACACAGAAAGCCATTTAAAGCTGTAAAATGGTACAAGGATTTGTCTTTTTTTAGGGTGAAACTCACGTTTTACATGCAAAGGCCCTCACTTCAGTCCCCAGCATTTTCCAGTGGGACTAGGAAAGGCTCCCATCTGGAACCACAGAAAAGTGCAGCTGGTTGGCACAGAGAGTGCTGGCACTTGCTGTGTTTCTGGGGAAGTGCCAGAGCACAGTAGTGAACCACGTCCCCTGCATGCAAACGTCCCACGTTCAAGGCACGAATTGCAGGAGAGGGGGATGCGCCTTCACCTTTTGCTGTGATCCTCTTTGCTATGCATTTAAAATACTACGCTGGTGGCATGATGTGGCTATTTTTTGCAGGGGAACCGTCAGGTCTGAGAATTGCAGGTTTAATCAAAGCCCCCATAATTAACCTTCCACTCCCACCCCCTTTCTTTGAGCACCACCTCCAGGATAATTTCAGGCTTCGTTGTCCATTGCTTCCTAGAATACAGGATTTAGAGCTGGGCTAGCGAGTCTGTGGCTCTTCAGATACTGCTGCAGTAAAACTGTCACCAGTCCTGACCATTGGCTATGTTGACTGGGGCTGATGGGAGTTGAAATCTAACAGCATGTGTGGATTTCAACTAGAGAGCCAGTGCGGTGTTGTTGTTAAGAGTGCAAGGCTGGGTCTCAAGAGATCTGGTTTCTAGTCCCCTCAGCCATGGAACCAACTGGGTGACTACGGGACAGTCACAGCCTGAACTACCTCACAGGATTGTTGTTGTGAGAATAAGCTTGAGAGGAGGCAGAGAATTATGTAAGCCTCCTTGAGTTCCTTGAAAGGAAAAATGGCAGGATATAAATGTAATGAATAAATAAATAACAGCATCTGGATGGCCCCCCAGGTTGCCTACCTTGGATTTAGAGAAAGGGCTACGTTAAGAGAATGATCATTGTTAGAACTGACCTGCAAATGAAGAAGGTATTCAGGAATACGCTGGACAATATGAAAGAAGAATATGTAGAGGTCAGATTTTATTTCTTCCTCGATCTGTTGGTGATAGAAGAATAAAAGTAAGTAGACTGAGATAATTATCCGTAGAGGGTACAGTCAAACGCAGAAATACAACAGTGAAGCTGGTTGATTTCATTGGGCTTAAGAACACTTCATCCTGAATTGCTTTGTGACCAAGATATGATGGAGGCAAGCACTGTATACATTTCTTTCCCACAGAAGCAGTACAGTTTAATATATGCAGGAATTAGCATATCAGTGCCCATCTATTATTTCTGCTTTGGAAGGAATGTATGAAGAAACTTCTCATTATAATATACAGTTGTCTTTGAAGACAATTCAGAAACTGCAGCTAGTCCAAAGTACAGCTGCAAAGCTGGGATGGGGCATTACAGCCACATCATACCTGGGGTCTTAATTTCTTTTACTGTGATTTTAATTATTTGTAATGCTCTGAGAACCTGTTGAGAGATGAAGTATAGCTCTCTTTCACTACATTTAATTAAATAAATCAAAAACGTCTATATTTGCATGTTGATGTTCTATTGCTGTGACTTCCTTTAATATTTGTTCCATGCCTGCATACCCTTTTCTCTATTTAGAGATGCCTCATGCACTGAGCTGAGCTGAATTAGGATGCACCAGCTTTGCAGAAACACCATATGGGGATCAGTCCAGACCAACAGGACTAATTTCTGCTCAGAGGATATTATGGGTCATTGTCTGGGAACCAAAACTTTTAATAAGAGCAAACTTACTTCTTTCAGAATCACCACATGGATTAGTGACATGCATTCTGGCAAATCCCTCAAGTAAGCAACATAATAGTCCAAAAAATTGTTCTGAAAAGCAAATTGAAAATCTTTATGTATGCGACTTAACATCAACCAGATGAGTGTTCTCAATCTACGTTACAAGTACAGGTCCAGGAGCAGTAATTCGGTAAAGAAATGTGCCAAAGCAGAATGTGAACTCCAATTCTATTTCATTTAGAACTACAAGAGGGCTCTCAATGATACACATATGTCCTGCTCAGACAACTCAGTCAGAGAAAGTAGCTAAAGTGGTGATAGAAAAACTTTTAGGGTCCACAGAATTTCTCTTTGAATTCCCCTCTAGGAAAACACCTAAAAGCAGTAGTTCTCAGAATCAGAATGCTCTATTTGTTAAAACATCTATGGTTAAATACCTTTAAGAGAGCAATCCTAAGGTCCCATGGGAGGCCTTCCAGGAACCAAGAGATGGCTCAGAAAGTTCCTCCAAGGTCAGAGACAGTCCTCTGACTGCAGAAGGGGACATTGGGCACTTGGCCCTAGATCCTTCCTCCTGACTGCCACGATGGAGAGAAGCACTCCTCTGAGTAGAGAAAGTAACCTCAGAGGAAGAGGAAGAGGAAAGGGAAGTTCTGGTGAGCAGAAAGGGAAGGAGACCTGTAAGGCCAGGATATAAGATTCCTCCAGCCTCCCTCCCTCTACTTCTGAAGCAACTTTGCTAGGCAGGTTGAAAAGTCCACCAGTCTATCTTACAAAGATCACCCCAGAGTGAGAGAAGGAAGGCAAGGACTGCCTCCATCAGGCCTTCTCTATGCTGACTCCACCTCAGCCAAGGACAACAATCTCAGAAGTTCCTGCATCGGGGGCATCCTAGAGGGGAAGGTACAATCCAGAGGACTGCACCCCAGCTGTGTTTCTCTGGGGAAAAAAATCAAAACTACATGCATAATTCAAGAAGCTAGATTGTTTCCAAGCAAACTCTCACTGATGTTTGCAAAACAAATCTTTCAGATATCCAAAATATATACCACTTCGCTCAAGAAATAGTCAGCTCTGTATATTTAAAGACATTTCTAATTCTGTTTCTCAATTAAAACAGCAACAACTCAAACAATTCATGCCTTCTTCAGCTCCCTGGTCCAAAATGGACCCAGTATTTCAAATTGCATCCTCCTCTCCTGCTCCACGTATATTTATTCAACTTATACCTCATCATTGGTCAGCTTGAGAAATATGTCTCCCAGGATTCCCTGTCGGGGCCAGCTCAGTACTCTTTCCTGCAGGGCATGAAGTAAATCTACGTGCTGTTGGACCAAGTAGCGCAAAGAGCTGGGGAAAAAACTGCAACCAGAAAATGAGAGGAATTGCTTTTCACAAAACCTTTAATGAATAGCAGGTGAATACATCTAAAAATACAAGGAATGGCTACACAGAGCAGAAAGAAGGTCTTCCAGCCACAATTCAAGGTGTTAATTGTGATGTAAAAATGAAACAGCAGGTGGCAAATAATAACAGTGGTCTAAAAGTACATCACATTGACAGCCAATGTGGCAGAGTAATTTGTGTTAGACTGGGACTTGGGAGGACGGGGTTCTAGTCCCCACTCAGCCATGACGCTCTCTAGGAGATCAATTCACAACCAAACTTACCTCACAGGGCTCTCGTGTGGATAAAAGAGAGAGGAGAACCATGTGCGGTGCCTGGGGGGGGATATACATGTAATCAATTGATCAATTAATTAAGAGGGTCAACAATTTGGCTGTTGGTGCTACCACTGTGGCTTGCTCTCAAAATATGGCAGCAAACTACCAGCTGTTTTGCTGCTACAACAACAGAAAATGCAACAGGGAGGGACCCATGCTGCCCTCCCCAACTCTAACAGCAGTCACAGTGGGCAAAAGTGTTTGGTAAGCCTCCCTTGGCAGCCATTTTGCGAGCGCACCCATGAAGTTCTCCTAACCTTCCAAGTATGCCCACCGGACCAAAAAGGCTGAGGACTCCAAAGAACTGACTGGTAATAGAAATGGAGGGATGAGGAAGGCAGATACATCAGCTCCATAGTGTTGTTGGTGGCATCCTGCACAGGAAGTGGAGTCCCACGTATGGTGGCCCATAAGTATGATGAGTACACCCAGCTATTGTGGTGGTACTGGGATTAGAAAGCAAATCACTGCCCTGCTCAGTGTGGCTGGAAGTGGCAAAGGCAGGCAGGCTTATGAAGGCAAGAATGGGGCTGAGCAGAGAGGGAAGGCCAGTGATGGCTGAAACAGAGGTTCATGCATGCATAGAAAAAATATAGTCGGTAGGACGAACAGAATTTCTGCCAAAGAACAATGCTCAAGAAAGCTGACAGAGAAAGGCAGGAGTATGAGTCGAAGATCAGCTCAGGCCCTTTGCTCCAGATAGACCATTCCTCCCTCCCCCACATTCCTATTATAGGAGTTTCACTTTTATTTATTTATTTATTTGGATATTTTTATCCCATCCAATTACGTTGCGCATCTTTAGATGGCTTACAAACAAACACCCAATAAATATATATAAAACCCATAATTTTCTTAATTAAAATGTTGTTTTAATTGCAAAATTAAAATCTTACCAGATTGGTAAGATTTTATCTTGAGAAGCAGAATATAACTGATGATACTAACTAACTAAATAACAGTAAAATCTGTTTTAAAACACACCTTAATAAAAGCAGAATATGAAACATCATTAAAGCAACAATAAAATGTAATACCTTCTTTCCTTGGTATTTCTCTTCACTTCTGAGCCTTGCACTGTGGTTCTCACTTTGAGGACCAAGGAGAGGTTAACAACATACTTCCTTTCAGACTCCAGCAAATCCAGAGCAACATTCTGCCTTTTTGCTATGGCAAATCAAAACAAGCATTGATGGATTTGATAATTAGATGGGTTAATAATGGTTAAGATTATGCAGCTGTGTTTGGACAAGCTGTTGTTACACAGGGAAAATTCAAGCAGGGCAGAGAGTTACAGATTCCTTTATTAGTGTATCTCTTCTGAAGTAAGAAGATCCGGATCTATTTGTAATATGGGAGGTTTCAATATGGTGTTACCTAAAACAATCTGAAATGCAAATATAAAACCTACATCTAAAAGAGGAACTTTATAGGAGGAAGCAGTGTGTCTCTCTGCACAACTGGCTGCCTGTCATCTTGGAAGGCACAAGATTGCCTACAAGAAGATGGAGCATCATGTCAACCCATGCTGGAGGTGTATCAAAACCTCTAGAAGAGTTCAACTGCAAAAATGATATATCTGTGACATTCATTGGCTAGAGAGAGCTACGTGTGCCAAAATTCTGGAGAAAAAAAGCGAAAGAAGGAACATGCCAGGAAAAGGATAGGAAGTGGATGCTTAAGTGGATTTTAATTAGGAAAATCTAGATTAAAATGAAAATGAAATGAATATGTGCTATGCATGATTGCCAATCTGTGTAAGTAACCTTTGAAAGTAACCCAACAAAATAGAAGTTTCTTCAACACATTATAAATAGAGTAAGTTAGATGCTATTGAACAGAATATAAATAATAAACATAATTGGACAAAAATGCATACAGTTCAGAACTAGCATATTACAGAATTAGTAAAATCTCAGGAAAAAAGAAAAATGCATAATTAAATAGAGCATCATGGAACAATTAAAAAAATAGAAGTGGTTAAAAAAAGAGGCAAAAATAAATGTATTAATACAACTTAGAGCACTGTCTTATGCAGGTTTAGATGAAGTCCAGAACACAAGATCTGCTTGAGATGCTGGGGTGGCAGAATGATCAAGGGGCTTGAATCCATGACTGGAACAGATTTTGTGGGGGGCATCAAGATATGCAGCAGTGGGGAAACCCAACTAGACACATTTTGGACCAGTTTCAGAACATATTTATTGGTCAGAGATTGAGTGATGGGATGTTCCAGAGAAAGAAAACTAGATAATGTAAATTATTTAGAGATATTGGCAGATCTCCTCTCATTATTACTTTTCTAAGATAGAAATTCAAGTTTATAAGTTTTTCCTAGCTGGTATGTATCAACAAAAATTGTTAGATATCAAATGTTATTTTCTCCTAGAAAGAGAGAATCCTTGTTGCAAAAGTACTCTAAGATATTAAGAGGATAAGACACAACAATGGACAAATTAATTCAGAAAGAATGTGACCACAGGCTTAAGTTCTCGCTGCTCGTTGCACTGAGGTGCAGCAGTTTGTTAACACCTCACAACACCTCAAGCAGTGAGGCTGGCTTTTAAATGAATCCCAACATCAGTAATTATCGTTTGTCTTCACACTCTCAGGTCCTGCTCTGCAGGTCACACAGTGGTTCATTCATTCACATTTCTCATGCCTTTTAGTCGCTTGTTATTAATCTCACCTGCAACAGAAGAATCTCGCAGCATATTCTCCATTGAGCTATAGCCAATTGGCACCGCTTCCTTCTGCCTGTCCATATGATCCTTTGAAATATGCTCACCACCCCACTCTTTACTGTCCTTGGTCTGTTTCCATACTGTGGCTGCTGACTGTCCCTTTGACTGAGCATCAGCTGATGAGGAAGCCCTCTCTTCTGTGTCCGGATTCGTACTGGCTAGCCCTAGAAATTAAATCAAGGTATTGTTAGTTAGTGGTCATGGGCCTCATTGGTCTAAAGCCCACTGTACAAGGCAACTAAAGCCACGTCGACTGATGTGGTAAAGGGACTGAAACCAGCGTACCCAATCCAGATAAAAGAGATGCATGCCAGAGATCTGTCTTCCCTTTTCCCTTTTTTTTTTTTAGTAATCCATATTTGTTGTGGTGGGGGGCATGTCTGGGGCTGCTAAAAGCAGATATGGGTGCATCCCGAGAAACTGATGGCCACCTTCATGAAATGTTCCATTTAACTTATTTATTTGGAATATCTATATATTGCTTTTCAAGAAATTTCTCAAAACAATTTAGATAATAAAACAAAGTAGGTTACAAACAAGTTTTACTAATGCTGCTGATAAAGTCTTCCATCCTTGAACAGAGAAAGAGATTTCCTCAGCTTAGATTTGACTGTCCTCCCTTCTCCTTGTGTGGCAAGGAAAAGCCCTTATCTCTGATCAGCAACAGAGGGAGCTGGTCAGCCTGGAGAAGCTGCTGGTGGCCGGATGAGGAATTCCATGGGCCAAACACCTCATGGGCTCAACCCAATAATCTCTGCATGCAGCGTCCTCCTGGAACAGTATCTCTAGGGAGGAGATGGCCAGTGCGCTCTGCAGGCTCTCTGGGTGGTTTTGACGGCATCTGTACTTTATCCCTTGAACCCTTATAATGTACTTCTGCTGCCAGACCGATGACTGGACCTCAAACACCTTGAACAATCAGGACCTGAGGACAGTCCCCCAAAGTCACCCTTCAACTTTTAACCCTGCTGCCCAGGAGAAGCCAAAGGCTGCATTGTCCTTTTAATATTTTAAAAGCAGCACTGAGGGGACAACGTTAGGATCGCCACTCTTGGATAGTTGCTCCAGTGGCTGAAACAACTCGCTTCCCTGTTAGCTCTGGTCCTTAACCTACCGGACTCTAAACCAGCACTCTGGTCCTTGTCCATAGTCCTGACCTTTCCCAAGGTCAGTTCCTGAGCATTATGCCTACTATTCTCCATATTGCTTGGGTGACTTTCATCTGGGTGGTGGGAAGTCATCACGGATCAGGAGACATACACAGATTTCTGGTTGTCTTAGAGAATGTCTCTGTCTAGACCCGTATCTAAATAAATGGGAATCTCTGCCAACACTGAATGTCTGGAAGTGCCTTCTAACTCCAAATTCACTTACCTTTCACGTTGGTGTCTCCCAGTCCCCTGGGTCTGCAATCAGCGACTGAGCAAGAACAAGAAAGATTTTAGCCGTACAAAAAGAGAGATCAGTACAGCATGCTTCTTGCAGAGAACTGGTCTTGAGGAAAGTCCTTCTAGAATGTTATGGTTTGACTACACTCCAGCAGGGGCCCACTGAGAAGACACCCACCCTGGAGTTGCTCCTTCCCTTCCCCACTGCAACCTTCCTGTTCACTTGCCTCTCACTCTGGTCCAGACCATGTTGATGGTGAGGAGGAGGAGCTGAAGATGCTGCCACCTCTTTATCCCCTGGCTTTCTGCCTGTCAACTATGTGAGTGGCAGGAAAAATAAGAAAAGATGAGGAGCATTAGGAGCTGGTGATGATGGTGGTGAGAAGACAGACTGAGGGAGGATGTGGCTTTTGCCCGAGAACTCTCCAAAGTTTGGAGCCAGTATTACACTATAGGCAAACTACTACAAACTGATGTTTTTCATGCTGACCTTTTAAAAAAAAGACTTGATTGTGGCTTTCTTTTTTTCCTTTCTTTCTTAAATCACAGCTCCAATACCTGTGTTTTATAGGAAAATGTTCATGGAAAAATGTTACTGAGGTTAAAGGACCCCTAGGGTATGGAATGGGCTTCCATAGGAGGTGGTTGAAGCCCCATCAGTGAGGGTGTTCAAGGATAGGCTAGACATGCACATGGTAGGCATGTCATGAGTGGAGCCGGGGGTCAGACTAGATGGCCCAGGAAGACCCTTCTGACTCACTCTGTTTCTATGTTTCTATTGTTCCTAATTACAGCACAGAGTGTTAGAACAGTTTAAAGATCAGCCTATTTATTGAGTCAGTCCTTAACTGACTAACTGGATAGCCATCCAAGAGCAATGGCTTAACTTGGATTCCTGCAGTGAGCACGGGGTTGGACTTGATGGCCTTTGGCCCCTTCCAACATTATGATTCTGTGAGTCTGAGACTATGATCTAGTTCTGGGAAAGGAGGAGATTCAGCTCTAAAGAAGAGAAGAAACTGGGCCAATGAAGCTCTCAAATGTTTAATTTGGACTGGATGTGCGAACATTTGCATTTCCATAACTGTCTCTCTGAAAAAGTATTTGGGGTGGTGGAAATTGAGCAACACTGGGCACAAGGTCGGAGAAGGCTGGCACAGAAGCCGGAAATCCCATGGTCGGTCATTCAGTGTCTTCAATATAACTTCCTCATGGCTATGTCTCAAGTGCTGGGGAACAGGACCTTGATCTTTGGACTCTGAGAGGTGAATAGCTGAGCTCACCACAAGACTCTTTCTCGTATCTATCTATATCTAGACCTCCGCACCTCTCAAGTGTGAGGAATAAAGCAAATTCCTGCTGCCCAACCATGTCCTGACCTTCCCCAGTCTGTTTTTTGGGAGCCTTACTCCATTGCTGCCTTGTGAGCCCCTCATTGCTCAAAATATTACATTTTGATCAGCTAGCTTTAAAAAAGGATCCGGCAGTCTAGGACAAAGCGCACTTTAAAATGTCTAGGTCAGGGGTTGGCAACCCACAGCTCCGGAGCCGCACGTGGTTCTTGAACCCCTCTGCTGCGGCTCCGTCGCTCAAAACATGCGCCGGCACAGACGCCGATCTGCTCGAAGCTCCACTCAGGAACGCAGCGCTAGCTAGTTAAGTAAATCAGCTAGTTAAGTAAATCGCTACATTCCTCTGCTAAACAAGCTTCCTGCAGGCTCTCATGTTACACGAAACATGAAGAAAGTTTCTGAAGAAAACCAAACGTTTAACGTGGGCAGAGTCATTTGCTTTTACTGCTGACAAACTTATGGGGTTTGCTGTTTAATGCATGCAGCCCTTTAGCACTGACTTTGACTCTGCAGGAAGCTGTTCTCCTATTCACAATATATGAAAGGAGTCCTACTAGCTTATAATCTAAGATTAAAAATAACAGTTTTTAGTGACTGAACAAGAGCTGCAGCTAAATCATAATGAAGATACACACAGCATTAAGGTAAAAAACGATATATGCAGTGTTATCTTCATTTTAGATGTCAAAAGGGTTATGCAGCTCCTGGTGTTCTCTTTTGTGTGGGAAATGCGTCAAAATGGCTCTTTGAGTGTTAAAGGTTGCCGACCTCTGGTCTAGGTGAAAGCCTCTACTGAACTAGTTTCAGTGTTTTCGCAATGTGTGTTTTAATATATATTGTTGTGTTATGTTTTACAAACCACCTGAAATTATAATATGGCCCTTATAAACTCTTAAAAATAAAGGATAAGGGAGTGCCCACTATCTCCACCTATTAGTGTTGAGCATTCCAAAATCATTAGTGCCCAAACTTGTTCCAGTTCTTAATTGAAGCAAAGCAAAGTTGTATCAACTACCAACTGGCCAGAAGTTTTGAGTAGCCTTTGAAAGTTCTTTCAACTCCCTTCCTTTGTTAAGCAAAACAAGACCATCAATCTCTTTTTACACACCTGGAAACCTCTAGTCCTCCCCATAATGGTGAATTGCATCCTATGAGTAAAATACTATGCCAGTCTAGAAAGAAATCACGCCACATTCCTCAGTTAGCATGGCTGGAAAGGACCAAAATACTTCTGTTAAAATATGTAAGAGATTGTGCCCTAAAAGAACACACAAGTTCCTTTCTTTTAATACTACGCAACTTCGGGAGGGTCGTCTTGCCTTGCCTAATGGTAGAGCTGGACCGACGGAAGCAAGTAGGGAGGGCACGGCTGGGGGGGGGGGGATGAGGAAGAAGGAGTGTTACAATGTGGGAAGCTGGCCTGAGTATATATGACATGGTTCACAATCAAATAAAATAAATACCTTTCTCATACGTTGCATTGTGCAAAAGATTAACAAAATCTTCGTTAATTAACACTGGCTCAGGAAGGTTCAGTGATCTAAAGGGGCTTCCTTGCAGTGGTGTGGGCACTGTCTGTGACCCATGCTCCTCCTTCTGTATTCTTCTGAGGGGGAAAAATGGGAAAAAATAAAAAGCAAGACTGCCAGAACACTAATTGAGGCGCACACTTGACTTAAGGTAGAAAAGTTAAATAGTAAAGTAACATTTGCTTTCTTGTTTCAGCTACTTGTGATGATCTTATCTGATCTACTGAAGTCACATATTTATTAGGCAGTCATGAGGAGAGGAGGAAGGGACAAGGAAATCCAGGTCATGTACAGAAGCTGCCATGGCGTTGAAGAACACACCAACTTCAGTAACTTACTTTGCTTTAAGTTTGCGGGATTCTTTCCTCTTCTCTTGTTGCAATTGCTCGATTTTCTGCTGCATCTCTTCTTGCTTTGCACTGATTTCCTCAATCATGGACTTGGCATCACTAAGCTCCTCCTAATTTAAGAGACACAGGCCAACACGTGGTTTGGGGAAAGGATGTATGGATGACCTTTTCCTGAAACTTTTCACATGTGCAAGCTCTTCCACATAGAGAAACAACAATGCAGATATAGCAGCTGGGTTGCACCAAAGCAGAGAGATGTGGGGTACATAAAGATGTACCTAATTTTAGTGGTAAGCCTGCTGCAAAACCACACTTGCATTTGGGGCACCCAGACAGACTTCTTCCCTAGACCCAGCTCAGAGGCAGCCTGCTCTTCCGGCTGGCAGCAGAACCCAGGTATGTCCAGCTGTTTCTTGTGTTCATCATGAAGCTACCTCCCCATATGCTAGAACAATTTTTGAACTGTGTTTGTTTTTTTTAAAAAAATGCTGAATAAATGATTCACTTGATAAACATGAAAGTGTCAGACGCCAGAAACAAAGCAGATAGTTCACTTGAGCCCTGGAGGTGGAACAGGGAAGGAACAATGAAGAGGCACTCTCAGAACTGCAAATATAGGTATGCCATGTGAGCAGCAAACAGGAGGGAACAGAGCTGCTCTGCAGCAAAAATGCTTGCGCCCACTTGGGTCCCAAATATATTTTACATTGCGTCCTTATACTCAGACTGGAGAGAGTTGTAAAATATTAAGCAGTTACCGTTTATCCCCACTTTACGAGGCAAGCTTCCCTTCATCTTGGTCCTCTCTTTATGGATCAGGTGGGATTGCTCATTTTGATTTTTAAGTAGAAGAAATACATTCATTGCTTGATGTACTTTTAAAATTTAATACCCAGTCTTTTCAGTACACATGAGCTGTTCAAAGCTGCACAGCAGCTTACAGCGCAAGAAACTGATGCTTGACATCCAGAGTTCTCAGTTCAAAAACTGTATTAAAAAATAAAGCCCACAATTTGAAAGAAATATATATATAATATTAATTTCCATGGGGAGGGTTAAACGAATGCAAAAACAGGCTGGAACAGGCTTATGGATAGCACAGGCTGGAAATAGACTGATTTCCCTATTTCTGCTCTGGAGCAGCAGAGAAAACAAAATCAGGCTGGAAAGATGCTTTGTGCCTTCAACATGCACAGAGGAACCTGCTTGGTAATGACTTATTTACCGTCGCTCACCTTTTCTGTTTATTTTTCCATGCCTCCACAGCCTGTGCAGGATCCCTTCTTCTGCTTCCAGCCTCAAACAGGCCTGATCCCCTCTGTCAAAAAAGGGAACAGGATGCAAGTGAGCTTCACCTACCTTGAAGCAATTTAGAGAATTCTTCATCTCTGCCACTTTCTCCTCCATTGCACAACGGCAGCTTTGGACCTTCTCTTCCAGAGCATACTCTCCATGCTGGATTCTTGAAAGTTCCTGCATTGCTTCAGTAAAACCAGTTTTAAGCTCAGAAGCCAAAGCCTGCAACTGAATCAGACAGAGCCCACATTAATGAGACATGCCACAGAAAAGGGTGTGGGTTCTCCCATGCACTCACACAAGTACAAAAAAGGGGCTGCCTCACACTTGATCATTCAGGCTGGTGTTTTCGTACTGAGTCTCCAGGGTCACCACTGAGGCAAAAGAGCACAGATGTGCCACTACCTCGCTCCAGCCCATTGCCGCCACCTCTCCTCTGGCTTGCCCCAAGCAGCTGCTCAGAACAAGTCCAAGGAAGCCAGTGGAAGGCTCAGTGAAGAGCCTCATCGGCCAGAAAAACTGGCATGTGCGACTCTCTGAAGAGCCAGCCACAGCCAGGCTCACTCAGCTGCGGGGGAGTCCTGGGAAGTCCTGCCTTTGGAGAGTACCTGTCCCACGAGTGCCACCATGAGTGGTCAGCTGAGCTTTCCCAAGTACCTGCTGTAGGGCACCTTGCTCCGGCGAGGCTGTGGCTGGGGCCGTGCTGGCAGGGGTGGAGGGGACTTTGCCACTCCCCCATTCTGCTGCCTGAGCTGGGGGAGTCACCCCATGCCATGAGAGGGTTGGCTGTGCTGCTACCTGAGCCTTTCGACTGGCGATACCAGGGACTCAACCGGCAACCTTCTGCATGCAAATTATAGGCTCTTCCACTGCTTTGTAGCCCCTTTCCTTTTTCCCAGAGTCAGCCATCTTCTATGTCTGTTGCCTGCATCTCTTTCCCTTTGGAAGGTGCTCTTCCACTGGCATTCAACTTCCTTACTTTTGCCTCCTTAAGATATATCTTGGTTTTTCTGAAATTTGTAATGTTTGTAATGTCCTTTGTCTCTATCCTTAGATGCAAACTTGCATGCAGAATCACTTTGAGTCTTTAATTTGCACACAGACTAGCAATTTTGTTGCTTTGGAAACAATAATTAATATATAAAATGTCTTCCTCTTGCTTTTATTGTATCAATTTATTGGACAGAAGCTGTTTTACTATTACCTAGATGGTCTCAGACTATAATTTGTTCCATGGCCAGTAGGAGAAGGAAGCAAATAAAGCACGATAACATGGTTGTTACGCGTACCCATGATGGCTGTATGCTGTGTCAGGTCTAAGAACCCTGAATATCAATTGCTAAGGAGCAACAGCAAGAGAACTTGATTGCCTTATGTCCTTCTCATGGGCTTTTCATGGGCCTCTGGTTGGCCAGCATGGAAAACAGGATGCTGAAGCAAGGTTCTGCTCCAATCTGGAAGCGTTCTTGGAATGTTCCCACTGAAGAAGCCCCGCTTCTTGAAAACTCATACCATCTTTCAGACTTCTCCAACTGGCTTTCATCCAGAAGTTTTGGCCTGTAATTCTCATAAATCCTGAGTTTGACTTTGCTGGCTAGGGTAGATGGGAAGTGTAGTCCAAACCAACTGGAGAGCAATGAGTTGGCAGTGTCTGCCATATTCCTCCTGGATGAATGGCTTTAAAAACCAACTACACATATCGAGCTTTTTTCCATGACTATGAGCAACAGGAGAAAAACATCACTGAAAAATTAAAGCATTTTTCTTTGTCTAATTATTAGGTTAAGCAGATGCAGGATAAAGCTTTCATTTTATGAGGTGCTACTCCCAATAAATATCTCCTTAGATCTCTATCAAGACTACCAGGCCAACAAAGGAGACCATTCTTTGTATATTGTCAGGTATTTGACAACTTCAATTGTGAAAGTCCCCAACAGGCAGCAAAACAGGCTTCTTGGGTCCTCCCTAGTAGGTTACCATTCATGACTGGTGGACTATGTTCATCCTGATGAGTCAAAAGTTGCAAAAGCCTGGTCTGTATTGTGTACAGCTGTGGACAATGGGTCCATAGCAAGATGGAAGGCAATATGGGGGCAGGCACCAATTCGGCTGGCTTTAAACAGGGATTGGAAAAAATCAAGGAGAAGGCTATGGACGGCTTCTAGCTCTGATGGCCGTATTCTGTCTCCAGGTCAGAGGCAGAGCACCTCAGTGCTCCAGGCGCAGGGATTCTTGGGATGAGAAGGTGCTATTGCAGCCATGTTCTGCTTGTAGGTTTCCAGCAGGCAGCTGGTTGTCCGCTGTGTGGACAGGATGCTGGAACGCGCAGATTTTGGTCTGACTGAGCAGGGCTGCTCTCATGTTCTTCATGTCTGAGCATCTCTAATTAATTTACATGAACACAAGGAATGGGCTTATCATTAGCCTTGCTAAAATCCATATTTGAATTACAGGGCTGTTCCAGCACCTCATGCACCTCATTCTAACACCTTCAGGCATATTTAGACAATGACTAAAATATAATACAGCTCCACCACGTATGCCCCAGTCAGCCGTGCTGGTTGCAGTCTGCTGGAGATCGTATGAGTTTTTGTCTTTTCTAAAGATTAATAGGTGAACACTGCCTACGGCAGTAAATCCATCTGAACAATAGATGACCTTTGCCTATGGCAGTAAATCCATCCATCTGGGTTTATGTTTCCAGTTGGTGGGAACCAGTGTGGTCAACCATTACAAAAGTGAATGGACAAAGAAGGGGCATGGGTCAAAACACACACATCCATGTTGTACAGGGTGGGCCAAAGGTAGGTATACGGTACTGATTGGGTTCGGGGAGTGGGGAGGGTCTCACACAGTGCATGAACTGAAGGAGTTCGTCTTGCAAGCATGTACTGACCTAGTTGCTAACCGGAGTTTGTGTCACAGTATCGGGGACAGGCTCCAGGTATGTTGCAATCCTGGAGGAGATTTTGAGCACCTAAGCAACTAAACATGAGCAGATCTGTACTGTATTCCTACTTTTGGCCCACCCTGTATAAATAAATGGTTATACTGGGATTACTTGCGTCTAAAGTTCTCTGAATTGTGCAGAGGCATTATAACTTTCCTAGATAATTTTCCTCTTTTCCTCTACCATTTATCATAATGTCAGAGAACCATTGAACCCGAATACACTCCACGATCATCTGATTCTCCACAAGTCAAGCAGATGGATTGTCCGTACTATGCATATATGGGAGGCAGTGTGAACTGGGACTTGGGAGATCTCAACTGGCCATGAAGCTTGCCAGGTGACTCTGGGCCAGCCACAGACGCTTGGCTTCCCAGGGTTTTTATGAAGGTAATGTGGAGAAGATGAGGATCATGTCAGCTGCTCTGAATTCCGTGCAAGATATAAATCTCATAAATACTATCACAGTAAACCAGACGTGCAGTTAAACACCTCAAGGAAATGAACCAGCCAAATGCTTTATGTTCATTGTGGGAAAATCAAGATACGGCTGTCATACGGCAACTGGGGCAAGACGCTTCTCAGCTAAACCCTAAGCAGGAAGCAAAATGCCTTCACTTGGTCCTTCTAGCATATCGACTCCAGCAAACATCCTGCCTTTTGTAGGCATTTAGTAGGGAAAGCAGCAATAGATGAAATGAAAATCATCGTTGGGAAGCTGCAATTTTGTGAGGATACGTGACAGGATATATATTATTCCTGTTCTCACTGTATATTTTCTGCTAAAAACTACCCAATTCATCTGCTGCCCCATCCCTCTGCCTCCCAGTAGCATTCCAGGTGTGAGCTGTTGTTATCCATCTGTGCCGTGGGCTGGACGGAAGCAGCTGAGGGGAGTGATTTTCAACAGCAAAAGTGGGATAAGGGTAAGCATTCCTTTCCTGTCCCTCTTCAGTGAAAAGCACCGTCAGGGGGTGGGTGGAGCGGAAATGCATGCATATCCTTCCCTTATTTCTTTCAAACCCCTTCTCAAATCTCACCTTGTCCAGGAAGCCAGTCCAACAAGCCCTGAGACCCAAGCCTATTGTAGCTAAGCCAATGTATGTGTAATTCAAGTAGTCACATATTCATTCTCTGCTTTAGCCCTTTCTCTATTTTCCTCCTTTTCTTCTGTTGTTCCGCTGTGTCTATTTTAAGACTGCAAGCTCCTTTGGATAAAGACCAGTCAAACATGGTCTTCACAAAGGGCTATTCAATAATCACAACAACAGCCGGCATAATGTAGCAACCTTGAGTGGCAAACTACACACTTGATCACCTTCTCACTTCACTCCAGAAATCTGTTAATGTGAAGGGGCCCTAAATCTCACTGAAATAGACAGGATTTCAATTTCATGGAGGTTTACATATTCCCAACTGTCTCTGATTTACACTCGTACACCCAAATCCAGAAATCCTGGTACTGTACAATGGCAGGCATCTCCAGTGTGATGAGAGTTATGTGTATTTGTATTTCCATCTCTAAGATATTGCTGGATAAGGGTCTGTCTGTCTGTCTGTCTTTCTTTCTTTCTTTCTTTCTTTCTTTCTTTCTTTCTTTCTTTCTTAATTTGTTTAATGGCCACCCATTAGCATCACACTGTGTATTGTAGCCATGACAATAAAAATACCAATAAGTAATATAAATGAAATAATATAATTAAAATGCCAAAGGCAAAATAAAATATGGATAATGAACAAGAATAAAGCTTAAGTTAGTAAATTAAAACCAGTGCAAATTGATGCAAAAATAATCTAAGTGCTGCCACAGGTGCGCCAGTAAAAAAATGTTTTAGTCAGGCTCCTAAAACTCAGCTGAGTAGGGGCCTGATGAATCTCCGATGGCAATGCATTCCATACTTGGGGTGCCACCACAGAAAAAGCTCTCCTCCTTGCAGCCTCCCCACTAACACCCTCAGGGGGAGGAAGTCATAGGAGGGCCTCTGTTGATGACCTTAGACAATGGGCAGAAATATATGGAGTAAGGTTCTCTCTAAGATCATGTAGTCCCAAGCCATTTAGGGCTTTATATACCATGGACAGGACCTTAAACTCAGCCTGGACTGAAACAGGCGGCCAGTGCAAGAGACAAAGGAGAGGTGTGATACGTCCTTTTTTCATGAGAACTGGTCCTTATTAGCAACCACGCTGCTGTATTCTGGATCATTTGAAGAATCTGGACTGTTTTCAATGGAAGCCCCACTCTTAGTGGATTAAGTGCCAATGGTATCTATGCTGTAATGTGTTGAGCGAAGACTGTAGTCTACATTAGCTCTTATGAAAACAGAAGGTAATATCCAGATTATTTAACCAAAACTAAGGAATATGATTTTGACAATATACTCTGAAAGTGATGCCGAGGTACTTTTAAAATATCAGGTATAAGATCCAGTTCCTTTCCTTTCCTCCCCTCCTCCCTCTCTCTGGTTGCTGTTCATTATTAATAATTTTTAACATCTTATACTGAGGATCTATTTGTCTGTTGCATTTTTCTGATGGGGTTTATTTTTATGGAAAGTTATCAAAAACCTCACTAATTCTTGAAGTGTTTGGGATTATTTGGAGCATCTTGCTCACTGTTACCTGAGCAATCTGTGTTGCAGGATTAATCACTGGCACACTTTCAGTTTCTCCTGTGGGAATAAAGAATTTCAGTCAATTAACGGGACTTATTAGGCTTACTATATATAAAATGGGGGCATAATGATTTGCAGTCCACTTTAGATGCAAATCTGTCCCTTTTCTGGAACACACAGTTCTGTTCTGAACTTGCTGCATACACATATATATGCAAAATCTGCCGCAATGACAAGCAACAGTCATTTTCTGCAATGAAATATATCTATGGCCTGTTCTGAAGAAGTGACCAGAGAAGCTAGCAGTTGCTGCTGTACTGATCGTTGGCATTAGAACTATGCTGATTACGAGTAGCTACAGGATGAACTGTGTGAGGTGATGGAATACCTGACTCCAAGGCTCATTTTGTAGCATGCTAATTCAAGACACAGTGGCAATAGCACTGCTGGTCCAAGACATATGATGATTCAAACACAGCACTAAATTCTGCGCCCACATTTCTCTATATCACTGTACCATTTAGGCATACATTCTTGCATTCATTTATCACACTGAATTTCAGTGCCTGAAACAGGGCCTGCTTTACTTCTTCTAGATAAGAATGAAAGCTTGACCAAAGAGGATCATTTTCATAAAATATAATATCAATTGTGTGAAATTTCATGCTGAAAAAATCAGTCTCAGCCAGAAATGGCCTGGGACTTCTTACTGGCCAAAATGAAGTCAGGGAACCCATACTAAACAAAAGCTGTATGAGAGAGAAACCCACTCAGATGCCCTGGGTGTAAGAAAACCCTTTTTAGGTGTATATATTGATACTCCATCAGAGATTTGGTGAACAATAAAGGCCTATGAATGCATTTCGTACGGGAGCAGTTTTGTTTGGAAAGATAACATGAAGAAACAGTGTTACATCAGTGAAGGGCACTAACCTAACTCTGTGGTCAGCAGTTGGTTTACTCCACTTTTTTACTTTGGTTTTATTCTGTTTTAAATTTTTTAAGTTTGTTATAGTATGTTTTATTCTATTGTAAAGTTTTCTGTTTTGTGAACCACCCAGTGAAGGGACTGGGCCTGCTTCTCCCAAAGGATTCCAAGGTGGTCACCTCAGACTTTGAATTTGAACTGGAAGAAGTGGATGAGTCAGAATTCCTGGCTGAGATGCTCTGAGATAAGCGAAGCAGCTGGCAAGAACCAGTCAACATCTGGTTCTGGGGGAGATACTGTTAAACACATCGCGCTAGAGAGGAATGTAACATAATCAGTCCCATCATCCAACAGCAGCTCAAGAAAGCAGGTCAGTTGAGTAATGTCCAGTGTTTCTGCTATCTGGTTGAAAAGCAGAAGGAACTTCCTGAGGGTGGTGCTAACTCTGGTTGGAAAGAGAAGGGGAGATTAAGGACTGGTACCCACTTTTTGGCATGGTAATAATATCTCTAGCTCACTGGTTTCCTATCTTGATGAAGGTCTTCTTCTAGTACTCCTTTTATAACACAGAGTCTGGCTGGCCGGCTTGCTCTAACATAGTAAAGACTGTAATTAGGGTTCCTGTTGGGGATGAGGGTGGCTGTTGTTCTTGGTGCACACTCTTGCATCATGCCAATCTGGACTCTGAGTCTGGGAATGAAGTGGAGGAGTGGGAAGGGGCCTGGGAAAGTGAACCTCCCAGCAGTGAGATAAATGGCCATGCTTATCTCAAGGCTACTGTTCCCAAGTGTGCTCAAGCAGGTTTGGAGAATAATCAAAATATACAGCTGTCAGGTGGGGGCATGGGAGAGGAGCTCTCAGAGACAGAAGAAGCTGACATGACTCATAATCCATGACACGACATCAGGAGAGGAGAGCTAGCCAACTAGGTCAGTATACGGGCAATACTGACCTTGGCTGGTCCTTTTCAGTTCTCTTGGAAACCCTGAAATCCAATGATGCCAGAAAGGATGAAAAGGAAGAAAAGATTGTTTTTTCCTTCTGCTGAGATGATGTGAATCTGGCAGGATTTTTGATGAGGTAGATTGTCTGCCTTCAGATCTCCTTTCATGCCTCGTGGGGTTGCTCTGTTAGACTGATTTGACTATGGATGCCTCATTGTTAATTGTGCCTGCTCCAAATGTATGAGGTTTACAGTCCTAAGGTGGCCACATATTCATTTGCTTTTTCATTATGTCACTGCACTCCCATAACACTTATGTCTGTTTAAAATTTGCTTCTGCTAGATTCAGAAAAGGTACCTGAAGAACAAAGTCAGTAACACAGTTTTCTTGTGTTCGTATTCTCCCCATGGGCAGTATCCCCTGCTTTATATCAGCTTCTTGCCCTCCCTTGTCATTTCTGTACCTTACTTAAAGGGCAGCTTAAACTGGTTTTGCAGCCATCCCTTTCTCCAGGAAACTCTGAAAACTGTAGTTCAAGAGTTGGGTTAAGGATTTATAACAAAAGTCAAACCATCCTAAGCAAACTACAATTATTAAGAAGAAGCCATGGGGAATCTCTGGGGGAGGTGCTCTTGAAGGACCAGCTGTGCAGCTCATGAGTGTTCCCAGATGCATCCCGGTTTGGAGAAAAGCAGGTGGTAGTGGTGACCAGGAATGCTTTTTACAAGCAATGGCTTGATTGCCAGCTGTGGCCCTGCCTCCAGCAGCCAGTCCTGTCTATGGTTTACTCATACGTTGGGTCCTTCCAAAATAGACTAGTGAAACATGGGGCTGGCTCTGAAGATGGTCCAGAACTTCAGCTGCTGCAAAATTCAGATACCTGGATGTTGGTGGAAGCCAGAAAAACCTGCCATGTGTGCTGAGATCTACCTCGGGAGTACTTCCGAAGTGCTCATTAAGTTCAGTAAGATTAGCATGCACTAGAGACACAACACTCTCAATGGTGACACCATATCTATGGCACTCCCTTTCAAATGACCTACATCTTGGCAGATTTTTAAGATCTTCTTCAAGGCTGCCTTTGACTGATTCCTTATGTCAGACTAAGAGTTTTGTAAGTAACTTCTGGACAGCTGTTTTGATGAGATCACCTGTACCTGTAATTTGTACTTTGTTTCTCATTTCTTCCATGCATTGCTTTCAGGTGGCTTAAAATAATGTAAAGAACTGTAGAAATAAATAAAGAAAACATGGTAAGGTAGGCATACTGGGATATTGCTGGTGGCATTGGATGAGAGATTTGTAGAGATTTTCCTGAAAATATAATTGCTTTTTAGTGTGGAGATTGAGAACCAGAGGCAATGAAGTCTGACATTCATTATGTTAAACCTCAGAGGGCCTGGATTTCCTTAGGAAAACGGGACACCTCTGTAACTGTTCACTTACATAGCAAGTGATGCCCTCTTTCAGCCAAAGTAAGATGAAATAATTCCTCAGTGGGAGGCAGAAGACAGAAAATAATAGAGGGTAATTCTGCTCCTCTTTCAATCCACACCTGACATGAATTTTAATTTATTTAACCCTTAGCAGCTCTTGAGTTCTGACTAGAAATGTCAGTTTATCTTCCTTCTTCCTGGAGAAGGCTGCAGCTGGTGGGATTATGCTATAAAGATATTCAAGGATTCTTATTGCAGATATATATTGCCTTCCTCGTTGGGACTTGATATATCCCAACATTTGGTCAGAAATGATATTTTTCCCATAATGTAGAATATAATGTCTAGATTTTTCTCTTTTAGTGAATGAATTCAATTAAAATTACCTACTGTTGTAATAAAGTGAATTTCTGAGCTGCAAACACTTTGGGAACAGAGGTTACTTTTAATTCCTATTTGGCACTTTTAATCCAGACAGGTCTAACCTTTCATTTGCAGAAATTCCTGTTATAAGCTTTTTCTGCCAAATTTCCACCCAAAAACTAATTTCTAAATATCAGTATTGACAAATGTATTCATTTATGAAGTAGTCATATATTTTTGTTTCCATGTGAGAAAGCAGCTGACAGCATTTCATATACTATGAACATTATAACAAGAATCCGATATAAAATGACACTGAAAAACTCATAATATAGCTCTAGCAATATAATATAGCAAATAGTTTAGAATAGCCTTCCCAATCTGGTGGCCTGCAGTTGTTTTGGCCTACAGTTCCCAGTCAGTATGGGCATGCTGGGCAGGGATGCTGAGAACTGTAGACCAATGCATATAGCAGACACCAGGCTGAGGATGCCTAGCTCAGGTTATTTCATGTAGCAGCTTACCTCAGAGCTCAGGTGGGTCTCCCTTCAGAGGAGACTGTTAAAGTTGAGGAGTTACAAGCGAAAGACTGGGGACTTACACAGTTCTACCTGTCCTGAGGGATCTGGCCTGGGATCTCATTAGTTCACCTTGATGTATGTGGAAGCACAAGCATCATGTCCTAATTGTAGAGACCTGAGACACCAAGTCCCTACAGTCCAGATGCAGGCTGAATGAGCATCACTTATGCTGGTCCAGAGTGCTGACAAGAACTGGTGCATAATTAAAGTAGACTGAGTAGTCTGCAGTAAGTTTGGTGTGCCCTTAGAGGGAAAATTACTCACCTTACCTTGGGATGCTTTCAGAACCCCTGGTTGGGCACTTAGCCACTTCATCCCGCCTTGTTGTTGTTATATGATGTCAGGGTACCTCTGCCTTATGGTAAGCCTATGAATTAAAGCCCTCCAAAATATCCTGCCCATGACAGCTCCACTCAGCTCTCCCAAGTTCAAGGCTGTAGCCTTTATGGATTCAACCCATCTTCCCATCCATCCATCTTCCCTTTCGTCCACTACCTTCGCCTTGCCCTAACATGATTGCCTTCTCTAGAAGGTCTTGCCTTCTCATGATGTTTATGAAGTAGGACAGCCTCAGTTTTGTCATTTTTGCTTCTAGGGAAGTTCTGGACCCATGTGTTTGCCTTCCTTTCAGTCCAGGATATTCACAAAGTATTCCTCCAGCACCATGTTTTGAATGCATCCATTTTCTTTGTGTTGGCTTTCTTCCCTGTCCAGGTTTCACTCCCATACATTGTGATACAATTGTTTGGATGATCTTGACCTTGGTCTCTAGTAAAACTTCCTTATATTTGAGGAGCGTTTCTAGTTCTTTCATTGCTGTCCTTCCAAATCTTTGCATTTCTTGGCTGCAGTCTCTCTTTGAATTGACAGTAAAGTTTTGTGATTCTTCTGTGGACATGATTTTTGTTTTAACTACTTCAATCCCCTGCCTCAGCTGCTATTAAAGTATAGCCAATAGAGGAAGCCTAGGTCAGGGAGTTTGTGCCATCTGTTTCTGAAAACCATGAAGAGCCTGAAAAGGCTATGGAAAGTCTATCTAGATAGGGTCTTCTTGTATCCTGCCCTAGGAGAAGCCAAGGAACTCATGAAATCAACTTTCAGATGAGCCAGGAAAACTGTATTCCGTTGATTATTGATATTATTGTTTTTTTCTAGAGGAGTTATGAACAGTTTTCTGTCTGTTTCAGTATTTCAATATTGTAAACTGCCTTGGCAGAAAGGTGTTTTGAAGATGTATTGAATACATATCCTGAGTGAATGAGAAGGGAGTGACTCTTCTGCCATATCAGCATAAGAAAGCCAACAACAAGAAATAAATACCTAACATTTTTTATACACGTTTATCTCAAGAGAACAGGCAACGTGGATACAGAGCTTGGCATCAGTTATGCCTAACTGACCCCCAGTGAGCAA